CGACACGCTTTGTACACACACACGCACACCGCCGTCAGCAAATAGACCAGCCGCGACAAATTGTATCAACACGCACACGCACACAAACACACACAGCACATACACTCTGTAATATATATATCAGAATATATTATCATATTATCACACCAATCCGTATTAGCTACGTTATTACCGCCTTGCATCTCTCTCCTTTTTTTTTTTTTGTGACGCAGGGGAAATGCGTTACGCATCCCCGTCTCCCCCGGGGGAGGGAGACGGGGTATGTGGGACTCTCTCCCCGAAACTGCTGTCTCGGGAAGCCTACCCACTAAAACCCCTGCGGAAGTACCTAACCTGAAGCATTTGGGGTCCATCCGGGAATTTCACAACTGTAGTACCTCCGGATGGACCCCTGCACTATACGCTAGTGCGTATCCTACCCCTGTGAATATGTGAGGATGAGTAGACGCCGGCTACCCACCCTCTCTTGCCGCGAGCCCATCTCGTGGGGGCCATGGACCCCCGTCCATGGTCCCATGGGTTTCCCCTCGGGGGGTCAAAGCGAGCTTTGACTCGGCCCCCGAGTTTAATTCCCTATTTATTTATCATTCCTTTGAGACCGATGGCCCCGCTAGTCGGTGCCATCGTGAGTCTCCTCCTATTTGCCCCTAAGGCATGTGGGCCGCGGGGAGGGGAACTAAGTTAAAGATGGAGAAGCCCCCTCCCCGCGGGATCGATGCCCGTTTAACCGGACATCTGGCCGACCCGCTATTCGGTTCGTACCGCCCCACCTAACACTGCAGGCTGTTCGCTCCCAGGAAGACCTAGCTACTGACTTAACTATACCCCCTTTCCCCCGCAACCCTAACCATTTTCCTAATATTCGAACCCTTGTCTATTCCTGGGGCGCGATTGACCCGCGCGAAAAACGCTTTCCTTTCTTTCTTCTTGGTCGAGTTGAGCTAGTCCCAACACGACCTTTATCTCTCCTTATTCATTACTGCTTTCTCTACGTTTTTTGTGTCTACATAGAGAGGCCTATGTGGCCAGATCCCCTCTCTCTGGCCCTCTCAGCCGCCTCCTTCCTGGTCATTACCTCCTCGCAGAAGGTTATGACCGCCTGTCTTTTTACATCCTGCATCAACGCCCTTATGACCGCCCCCATGGATAGGTCTGCACCGATTTGCCTCCTTAATTCTGCCCGTTCCGTGTCCCAGGCCGGACAGTAGCCCAGGGTGTGTCTCGCCGTGTCGTTTGGCGAGTCACAGTGCCAGCACTTGTTTGATGTCTCCCTCCCGATCCGACACAGGAACCTCCCGAAGCATCCGTGCCCCGAGAGGACCTGCGTCGTCCGGAAGGTGAGACCCACCCCGGCCTCGACCCATTCTCTAAGTTGTCCCTTTATGGCTCCTAGGACGGTTTCTCCTTCCTTTTCTGTACGTTCGATCCAACTTCTCTATTGGCCTATTAATTTCCTTTTGGCGGCCTCCTTAATCATGTCGGTCTCCTTTTTCTGTATAGGGTTGTTTGTAGCCCTATTTCTTCTAATGGTGGAGATTCTATCGTATACCTCCTCGCTGCTAACGGCTTGTAGCTCCATTGGGGGGACTCCTGCCAGGGCTGTATTAACAGCGAAGGAGGTGGTCTTGTAGGCCCTCACCAGTCGCCCCGTGATTCTCCGTTGGACCGCGCGGAGTATCTTTATTATTTTCTCGCTCTTGAGCATCTCATATGCCCATATTGGGGCCCCGTATAGCGCCATCGAGGTGATGACGTTAATGTATAGCTTCCTCGCCTTTCGGTTCGGGCCTCCCAAATTCGGCAGTAGCCTGCTCAGGGCGAGCGCCGATTTATCCAGCCTGGGGGATAGTCCCTCAAAATGGGGCACGAAAGTCCACCTGGAGTCTAGTGTGAGCCCGAGGTATCTCATCCTCGTTCCCACAGGGATCCGTACTCCTGCCACGCCAATTATCGTGTTTGCAGGCCTGCCTCTATCGCAGAACCCAACCACTTCTGATTTGAGTGGAGCTACCTCCAGCCCCATGTCCTGGATTCTTTGTATAATAGTGTCCACCGCCATTTCTGCCTCCATTGTGGCTTCCTCCCAGTCCTTGCCCCTGGTCAGAACGAGTGTGTCGTCGGCGTAACATATTACCAGGCATTCCGGGTGAAGATCTTTTCTCTTCATCACTTCGTTAAAGCCGAGGTTCCATAAGAGAGGGCCCAAGATTGACCCCTCTTCGCACCTCTTGCTCTCCCTTCCTGCCGTTTTCTTTGGTAAAGGATAGCTTCCTACGGCCCAGGTAGCTGCGGATTATTCTCCTCAGATACAGCGGGATTTTATGCCTGGTTAATGCCGCTCCTATTACTTCCCACGGCAGTGTGTTAAAGGCATTTTTAATGTCCAAAGATGCCCCTACTACCATTTTACCCTCCTCGAAGGCATCTTCCATGTATTCCCGGGCTCTTGTTATGGCGTCGATTGTGGACCTTCCTTTTCTGAAGCCGTACTGATTGTTATTTAAGTTGGGGCCTCTTTCATTCAAGTGTGCCGTGATTCTTGAGGATATGATTCTTTCGAGGATTTTTGCCTCGTCGTCCAGGAGGCAGATAGGCCGATATCCCGCTGCCTGGTCTTCTGGCTTCCCTGGCTTCCTGAGCAGGACCAGCTTGGCGTTCTTCCACAGACAGGGGAAGCTTCCGGTCCTGAGGCAGTCGGTGAAAAGATTCCTCATTTCCACCATCATATCTTTGGCTGCGAGGGCCCATGCCTTAGCAGGGATTCCGCTCGGCCCGGGCGCTGCACTTTTTTCCGACATTTTCTTGACGGCCAGGAGAACCTCTTCATGAGTGACCTCATACTCTGCAGACCAGGAGGAGGTTCCTGCGGTTGGAAGTTGAGGCTCCGTCCAATTGTCATTTCCTCCTGGTGGAAACAGCCCAGTGATTACCCTTTTCAGGATATCGGCATCCATGGACTCGGTGTATGGGGGAGTCTATCTCCTTAACTTCCCCATGACGACCTTGTAGGGTCGTCCCCATGAATCTTCGTTCAGCGTCTTCACGAAGTCCTCCCAGGCTTTAGCCTTGGCCTTTCTTATTTCTTTTGCTAAGGCTTTTTTGGCTTGTCTGAACTCTTCTAGTCTGTGACTCGTTTCGAGTTCGTCCTGACTATTTGTCTGGCGTCTTCTGCTTCTCCTGAGACTTCTTCTGGCCGCGGTTACGTTGGATCTGAGAGAGTTCACCTCCTCATTCCACCACGGCATGGTCTTTCTTAATCTAGGAGTTGCCCTGGGCATTGCCGTGTCGCATGCCTCCGTGAGTGTTCGTTGCAGCTTCCTAGCCTGAGCTTCTATGTCCTCTTCGTCCCGGCCATCCACTTGTACGGTCTTCGGCCAGTTAATCGCCAAAATTGCCGCCGTGAATAGATCTTCCTTCATACTTCTTGTCGCCCATCTTTTTTGTTGGGGGTTTCTCAACCTTCTTTGCTGCAGTTCAACATTGGAGATGACCATCTCTATATACCTGTGGTCGGACATACTCTCCCTATCTGACACTGCCCAAGATCTAACCCTTTGCGCTGCAACGGGATTTGCGAATGTGATGTCGACTATCGACTCTCCCGAGCTTCTGATGCAGGTACTTCTACCCCCTTGGTTTAGGCATATCAACCCGAGTCTGCTGGCCCATTCCACCACGATACTACCACGTAGGTCGTTTATCGGAGACTGCCACAGGTCCGACTTTGAATTGAAATCTCCTGCTACCAAAGTCGGTTTATTTGCGATTTGCATGATCTCTCTCTCCATATCTTCTAGGGCTTCCTCGAATTCCCTAATGTCGAGACTAGGGGGAAGATAGGTGCCAATGACAATTGCATCTCCCCAACGAATTGCGACAAAATGGTCTCCTTTTCTATATGGGGTGTAGGGAACTGCGTTCCTAGTCTGTCTCCATGTGATTGCTATGGATCTTCTATCGTTGGTTACCCAGTGGGGGTGTTCCTTTGGGACCACGTAGGGTTCTGAGACAATGGCCAATGCGAATTCTCCTTCTGCCATCGCTTGCATGAGCAAGTCATGTGCTGCCCTAGCGTGGTTAATGTTCGCTTGTATGATGAAGTTAGACATTATTGGCTTTCAGTTGGGTTCCTCCGCCCCCTTGTTCCTTCTTCTCTTCTTGTACTTCTTCTACATTTGACCAGTCGATCCCCAATTTCGGCCATTCTTCCTCCGTCATTCTTGTGGTGGTTTTCTGAGCATCCAGTATCGGGTCGCCAGTGTCCTCCTCTATCTCCATTTGTTCGTCTGGCTTCCTTGTTTCCGTATCCGGTTTTTCGCTGACGCGGCATTCCGCCATGTGTCTGATCACACTCGTCTCTCTCTCCTCTCTTCGCCTCATGTTTTC